TGGTTGTTATTTATTCTATCGTGGTGATGATTTTGTGTTTGATAGTATAGGAATCTTGGAAGAGTGGGGAGTGTAAATAAAGAAAAAATAAGTGTCTTGTGTTTAGGTGAATGATGATTGATTTTGCGGTGTATGTAGATCTAAACAATTGGCAAGGTTTGACTTTTGTATCCAATGTTAATAAAATATCTACGTTTATCTTTTTCCTTTTTTCCAGTTAATAAAGAAGTCTAGTTCCATGACTGCGTTGATTCGAATTCATTTCATCACAGTTAACGTCTGGTTAAACGAATACATTTCCTGATTCTTATCATCCAATTGTAGTCTACGCAACATAGTAATTAATTAATATTTGAATGAATAGCGAAAACCAGTTATACCAAAATTAACTCTAATTGTAATGACAAATGAATAAACAGTGAGAGAAGAGAGGACTAGTGAATTCGTATTATCCTACAAATCCTGTTACGTATATTGAACCTTGACCATGTCGAACAAATGGAATTTCACTGAAACGTTACTAGGGATAAGTATAATTATCAAACTAGAGATCTCGAAATTTTCCTCAATTTTCATAATACCCAAAACAATCAAAAATCAAGCCTAAATTCAAAGGACATGTCACATGCCGGTCACGAGGGTTAAGATTATGGCAGCAGAGGGTTAATCTATTCTTCAAAAATACATCTACTTGGCTATTCGAATATTTTTATTCGAAAATATGGCGTCAATTCCCAAAAATGGCGTCGGATTGCTACTGTCAAGACGAAGCTAGATAATTTCCAGGACAATCCTTCAACGCTGCACAGAGGAAACGCGCAGAGAACGGTACCTATTATCTCCTGAATTAGAACCTAGCAAAAGCACGCAAGTTACGAGCACGTCGAAATCTAAAAATACAAAAAGATAGAAGAAACAAACGTATCGTTTCGACGAATCCTGCGCGCGGCTAATTACCATCGAAATCCTCGCGTCTGCCAACGAAACACGGTAACCTGCGCAATTAAAATTCCCGCATAACGCGATACGACAAACAAAAGCGAACAATCGGTTTATAAATCTGCCGGTGCAGCGTGGCACGAAATTCAGATCGTGCAATCACGAGGATCGTGAGGCGAGTCGAGGAGGATTCGCGGTTGCACAAGTTCTCCGCGAGAACCCGGCCTCGTAGGATGTAATTTTCATCCAATGAGTAATTCATATCGATTCGCCGCGAGGAGGAAGTCAATCCCTCGCGAGCATACAGTGTGTTATACACAATGAGCACACACACACACACACACACTCTCTCTCCTGAGCCGTTTCTCTTCCTCGCCCGAGTCTTTCAGCGGCCATTGTGGTACAGGAATAAGCGAACGCGTAGGATTCGTCGGGAAATCGCTGGAAACGTGGTCGATTCGTCCACGAAACGGGAAGAATCGAAAATTCACAGGACCCCTGGCCTCGTATAGCTCGCGAAATTTCGCTCTCAGACGATACCGGAGGGGCACGGGTCTTAACGCGAATCCGATAAGCGACTACAGATTTAGGGCGGTACGCGCTTGGAAAAAGAACCGGCTTCTTATCGCGAGGAGTCTTCCGTTTCGCGCGGGTATCTCGGAACACCTGGAAAGAACGGGGTCGTTTCTTGCGACAGACTCGCCTCCACGGGGTTTAATTAGTTTGAAAGGATCGGACCGAGATTAGATTCGAATTAAAGTGGTATACACTCGGCTTCTCTTTGCTTTTCTTGCGGCGATGAGATGGGACGTTTCCGAGGGTACTTTGAGGACGATGATTCGTATGTTTGCTAATTTTTCTCTGCTTCCTTTTCCTTTTTATCGTCGTCTTTGATGCGCAGAGTGCTACGAGAATGGAGTAAGCTTTGTCTTCGAGGAAATTTCGTTTGGAAAGCGTTCTTCTCAGGAGTTATGGCAAGTTCGTAACTACTATGAGTGCTTTTGCTGTACATACGTGAGCCGTCCACAGCACAAATCGATCAACTCCGCTTTTCGAAAAATCTTAAATTTAAGTGTCAAAGCACTTGGTATAGTCGTAACCTTTTATATATAAGATTCTTCAAAGAGTGGAGTCAATCGATTTGTGCAGCGAACGGTTCATATTTCCCTTTTATTGATCTAATTCACACGTGGTCCAACAGGATTCTCAACGTTTATAGACACACCTTCTATGTATGGATGTCACTTATCGATAATGAGCCTATCGTTCACCTAACAGATCTCGCGATTATCTTTATTTTTAATAGGAAAAACAGTGAAATTCTTTTAGGATTAGTATAGACTAAACACAAGTATAGTCTTTAAGGAATATTCATAGAACTGTTTGAAAGATAGGCAAGTATGTTTGTTTGGTATTAACATCTCACAAATGCCCTAACAGTATATAGGTAGGTTCTAATTGGAGACTGTCAATGTGGTTAATCGGTGTATAATAATAGCAATTATGAAATATGCGAAAAGAAATTGGTTGATTTAGGAAGATCACGAAATTAGGAAAATCAATTACACATCCAATCTAAAATATTTCTTGGGGGCCACGACACTGACAAATTTTATTAATATAGAAAACAAGGTTAGGAAGAGAGTTTACTTAATAACCCAATTACTTTGCAGTTTCTCTCAGATAACCACCAACCCCTGATCCCGAACTTTTTATTATAATCCTCAGCACAATCTCCTAATAACAGAAAAAAGCAAATCGAAGAAGGAACTTGCTTAGTAACCCAATTAATTTACCCGGTTTCGCCCAGATTACCATACAAAAATCTTAACAGCCACGTCCCACCCTCGAGCCTCTTATAAAAATCCTCTTCATCGTTAAAAAGAATCCACCGTTAATATATAAAAGCAAATAAAAGAATTCCTCTCGTAACCCAATTATTCGGCAAGATTCCCCAAATTACCATAGAAAAATCCTAACCACCCATCCCATTGCCAGAATCCTCTTCGCGATTTAAAAATATTCCCTGCTAATACGTAAAGGCAAATCGAAGAACGAATTTCCTTACCCAGTTTCTGCTAGATTAACACCCAGAAACCCCAACCTCGAGCTCTTTATAAAAATCCTTTTGATCGTGAGAAATAATCCTCTGCAAATATACGAAAACGAATAAAGGAAAAATTCGTCTCATAACCCAATTACTCGGTAAGATTCTGCGAAATTAGCATGAAGAAAATCCTAACCACCAATCCCATTGCCAGAATCCTCTTCGCGATTTAAAAATACTCCCTGCTGATACACAGAAGCGAATCAAGAAACGAATTTCCTCAGCAGTCCATTTACTCCAGAGCCAGTTTCTCCCAGATTATCACCCAGAAATCCGAAACTACCCACCCCTAACCTCAAACCCTTTATTAAACAGCTCGCGGTTTAAAGAAGAACCCCCAAATAATTATGCTCGACAGCAGAACAAAGAACGCAAAGAGCTCAATTTAAATCCTCGTTACTCGTCCTCTATTCCACGTGCATCATTAACAGCACGTTTTCATCGGCGCACAGCGATCCTGCGAGCCCCTTTCAGCCCTATTACCATCCGGACCACGTGCGATATACGACTATCAAAGTTACGAGGACACAGGATACGGTACCTCGGTGAGATATCTAATCTGGCAAAACGCGAACGCGAAGTGAAAGCGACGAGATTCCGTGTTTCCCATCGAGCCGCTGTCTATTTTATTATTATGGTAACTATATTCGCTATTAAAATAGAATCATACACGGAAAGCGGTTAGTCGAACACGGGCGAGGATATGTACATACGCAAAAAGAAAAAGCAATTGTAAATAACTCTCCACGACTTCCTGTGATCTCTCGACGAGACACTCTCTTCCTGAGAGAATTATCTCTCGTTTTCTCTAATTTTTCGCTCGAAAGTACTCCGAACCCTTTGATAGCCGAAAATATGGCAGACCCACCAGTGGACTGTTCTTTTTGACGGACCTAGCTCTCATCCTGTCCACCAGCTTTCCCTTCTTTTCTCTTTCATCGCCCTTTTTCCCTCAGGGTCCCTAAGCCTACGATACTGCATCATTAATTAACCGGGCGCGTTGTTCGGCGTCGATTATTAAAAGGCACTCGCCGTGTCAAGGTCTCAGAGATCGCGCATCAAGCAGCATGCGAAATTAACACCAACAGACTAATTTCTCTCCGGCTGGCCTCTTAATTAATCCTAGATCCTTATCCGCGTCGTGCTTTTCCCCGACGCGCTTCTATGCGCAATTTCCTAGCGGTGTGTGTCGGAATCGCGCTCAGAGAAGGTGGAAAAGGTATCCCGTTACTGGACAAGGAGGAAACAAGACGGGGAAAAAATACGGCGAGTTAACTCCGCGGAAAAGAGGAAGAAGAAAGCGGATAATATCCTGCTGCGACCTAATTACGCGCCGTCGTCGGATATCAAAGAAACAGAGACCAGGGATGACGCTGGAAACTAGACAGGCACTGATAATTATCGTAGGAAATTGAAAATACGGGGTAGACGATTTCTGTCCCGATTTTATGGGGGCTAGTTTGATCACGGTGGTCAACGCCGAGTTAATTCCCGTTAAACGATTCTGGCCGATCGGAATTATGCTACCCTGACTTTCAAATTGTGAGAATTATTTTCTTTTGTTTAAACTTCAGGTAATATATGTAGAGACGATTTGTTGGTGGTATATATATATTTATTTATTTCATGATAAATTATCAGTGATAGAGTATATCAGTAAAGATATGAATTATTACAACTTGTTGCAACTCTCAACCTACACTTCTGCAGCAACTCTCCTATTACAACTTACAATTAGCAACAACAACTCTGGCAATTAACAACTCTTCTATTACAACTCTCTAATCGACAATTCTCCACTGATTTGGCAATTCTCTAATCGACAACCCCCTCACTCAGAACGTCTTTGTTCTTTTATATTCTGCTTCCTACCATGCACCCCCTGCACGCCTTTTCCAATGCCTACCCCAACATGACCAAATATGGTCGTACTAAGGGCCTGACGCATCGCCCAGGGGTTTTCCGACTAACCTGGCCTTCCAACCCTGGAATGATTTTGAAAATACAATATCACGTTATGTAAATATTAACAGTGTAAATGAATTTCTGTAGAATGAATACGAACAGTGATTAAATACATTTTAGCACGTATATTTATTAAGCATCTTGTCGTGTACTTATTCGGTGTTTTAATATGTATTCGATAATTTCATTTTCTTTCTATTGTAAATTTATAATTATGATTTATTCTAGATATTAGTAATTAAGGATAACCATATTTCTATCACGAAAACAATATTTTTTGGAATTCAGTTTTATCTCGTAAAATTCTGGAAAGTGTTAAACTATTTGCTATTTATTCATTCACTTTATAAATATTTTTAGTCATACTTAGTTACGAAGTTATTTTCGAATGATTACGAAATGATTTTCGTAAAGTTACGTTTACATGCAGTGGAAAATGTGCGATACCACATAAATTATTTAATATTATTCGTACCAAAACCACTGTCACTTTGTTTTGAGTCTAAGTAACACTGCATTTGAACAACTAAAAGTAATGGAATCTTTACTGCAAGAGTAATGTATCGGTTTGCTAAATTTTGGTAAAAAGATGGTGCCATTTTTCCCAATTTTGAAATAATGGTCCTAGTTGAGATTGTTTATGTAAAATTATTTTTGCTTCGAACGAAAGGACAGGAATGGCGAAATTATTTTTCAAGCTAAATATCTCCTGTGTCATAGTAAAAGAAAAATTCACCTACGCATATTCCACATCATTGTCAGCCATTGGGCAAAGAAAACGAAGGAAGATGCGAAACAAAGGCGGCTGACTTAACTTCCTAAGTCGAAGTTAATTAAATATGCTTGGTGGAAAACGAGTGTAAATCGTCTGGAATGAAACCCACTTTTCCTTCAGCGGCATTCTTCCCAGTTCCCAGAGGAACGTCAATAGCCTACACGAGGATCAGTGTCATCGATCTCTCACGGTCCCATACGTACACAATTCGTCATCTTGCTTCAGCGGTGCTGATTTAATTTCATTTAACACGGCCCCTGACAAGAAGTTCCTTTTCTCATTGCGTTCTCCGAGTCTCTTAATAACCTCGAAAGTGTAGCAAGAATTACGAGAGCGAGCACACGTTGCTTCAAACTCCAACTTGGATCCCTGACTATCCTCTCGAGATTTGAACGTCACTCGCGAATTACCATTCCCTTTCCTTCGTCATCCTTGCCAAAAATTAGCTAATTTCGACGGAATAATTACCACGTTCCCGGGGACTAAATTATTCTCAATTGTGGAAATTATTTCGTGCCAGCCGGCTTCGCAATTTAAACGGGTCCTCGAAATATTCGGCTTAAACTAGTAGGAAAGTTTATTCGACTTAATACGCAACGTTAAAAGACGCTAACTCCGGGTACGTTTACACGATATCTTTTCGTCCTCGCGCTTACTAGGAACATGCCCGGAAAGTTGGCTCATATATCTTAGAAACAGTTCCCTGTATAATTCAGTTGTCCCAACACGGGCTAGGTAAAGTACATCGAATCCCGCGGGATCAAAGGTACCGGAGATGGGGCTGCAAGTTCCCGATGCATCTCGCAGGCTCGGCAAACAAAATATTCGTCTCCAACAGAGCTCCCCTAATTACCAGCGATAAATCATAAAACGTGCTACGCCCAACATCCATTACGTAAATTTCCAACGTACGAATATAAATGGGAACGTTAGCACGCGATGACAAATGTCGCGCGAGTTCAAAGGATAACGAGATAACGTTGTAAACGTTCGCGAGATCGTAATCTCCTTTTCCTTCTTACGACCATCGTGCTGATTCGGAAAGGAGATTAGAGTCTCGTTGGTTTAGACGATTAATTACGGAATCTTTTCGGTATGCTGAATTTTATCAAGGTCGTCGGATAAATGCTTATACTCACTTGGTCTGGAAGCCCTCGAATTCCTCCTGCTGCTCGCTGATGGAAGCTTCGAGGTCCAAGTAGGCGCCGTAGTCGCCATCTTTGTAGAGCTGCAGCGCCGTATCGTCGAGCTGTAACAGAAACAGAGAACCAAGGTTTAACCCTCGATGGACCGAATATATATTTTTCTTGACTATAAGAATTGTAACATAAAATCAACAAATGTCAACCAATAAATTGAGCAGTTTTGACAATTTTGTTATAACAAATTTATATTGAAAATTTGAATTAACAACGTTTGTACTATTATGCCAAGATAATGTGCGATAGATAGACAAGATAATTTTCCACGCCATCTTGTAGAAAAAGGTCATAGGGGGCCGTAGAGGACCTAACCTATCATGATCGAATAACCGGTAAATGAAGAAGAATTAGAATTTTTAAAAATGGACCCACGGGCGGTATTTTAAAAATAATTATAAATATATCGAAAGAAAAATCGCGAACTGGAGTAATGAAGACGATAACGTTGAATGCAGTATTTAATAAAATATCCATACATTAGCATGTAACTTGAAAGTTACACGGGCCCATAGAGGGTTAATATAAATGTTCTTGTAATATTGCGAATATAAATTATTGTTCAATAAATTTGTGCCTTTATATTGTCGAGATTGCGAGATGTTTCACGCGTACGTTGACGTCTGCCGCCATACTTGTAATTGAATTACCTAATATCGTAATCGGGAGCAGAGATGAGTGGATGGACTACTGCGTCTAAAACAGAAGTGAGCACGTGGCGACGGTGACGAATTCTCCTTTGTGCACTTCCTCTCCTACGTCCAATACAATACCACGAGTTCGTTCTCGCTTCGGATCGTTGCCGGTCGTTCTTTGTTTATATTCCCTCGGAAATCAAACAACCCGTCGCCATTCAACGTCCGAATCCTCCGCTGCGACGTGCTCGCCACACACGCCCATTTGTTAGTCCCCACAGCGCGTATAAACTCTCGCGATATTACATTAAACGATAACGTACCGTAATGGTACATCTTCCTCAACCGCCCACACCTAAATTGCATTTCATATTGCATCCTAATTTACCCATCTTCGACGAATCATCGCTGTATGCAGAACTCTGGGGAATATTCTGTGAGGAAGACTCGGAACGATACTCCAATGGTGATCCAACTTTATATGTAATTGATATAGATTTATAGATCATGAAAATAATCTATAAAAATATAAATTATATATCTCATAGTTTTATTTATAAGTTAATAGTGGAGAATTCTAATGTTTTTTAAATTGTTTCTTTAAAAGAATGTAAGGTGTCTGTAGAGATAGTAATACAGGAAGTGTCTGTAAACCTGTTATCAATTAAATATTAATAATTTTGGCAGAAGGTTTAGAAACTTGGGACGCTGTCTGAAAGGCGCATTAAGTGTCCACGAGATCCACTTTTGGCTCATGAAACACAATTTGGCCACCATTGCGATATACTGCACGAAATCTAGCTGAATACCCCAATTCGAAGAATTAAATATTCCAACAATCCTGCACTTACTGTTTCAGCTCCCTGACCAATTAAACTAGCAATATTCGGGTATCAAAATACGTCTGCGAGTATCACAACTACTTAACAACATGCTACCATTGCGTTACATTAGCCACATTACCCTCATCCGGCTTAACGTTGGATTAGAAGCTGCGTAGAGCTCAAAGTGAATAATTCAGAAATAAATAAAGATTCTGAAAAATCGAAAGCGGTATCCTATCTTTGCAATTCACGAAATCGAATGTTCCAATACCTATTGAAACCCTTCTAATTAAAAGCATCGCATCACATTAGCCATATTACCCTCATCCCACCTAACGTTGGATTAGATGCTACCTAGAAGTCAAAATTAATAATTCTGGAAGACTGAAAGCAACATCCAACTGTTCCAATTCGCGAGTTTAAATGTTCCAACACCCACTCAAATTCTTGCAATTAAAACCAGATACATGAGTCGGTAGATACGTCAAAACCACCTAACATCGTGTCGCATTAGCCACATTGCTCTCATCTGACCTAACGTCAAATGAAAACCTTCAATTCTGATAGATTGAAAGCAATCTATATACCGAATCAAACGCTTCCAATTAAGACCAGACACGTGTACTCAATAGATACATGAAAACCACCTAACATAGTATCATCGTTACCTCGCATTAGCCATATTACCCTGATCCGACCTAACCTAGGATTAGGAGCTTCTTAGAAATCAAAATCAACAATTCTGACGGATTGAAAGCAACATCCTATTATTTCAATACTCAATCAAATGCTTCCAATTATAACCAAACACGTGTACCTAACATACTGTCATCCTAGCCTCCCATTAGCCATATTATACTCTCATCCCACCTAACGTAGGATTAGGAGCTTCTATAGAAGTCAAAGTGAACAATTCGGAAACGAATAAAGATTCTGAAAAATCCAAAGCAATGTCCTCCTGTTACAATCCACGAAGCGGAATTGGATGTTTCAACACCCACTGAAACCCTTCCAATTAAAAGCAGACACACGACTCGGTAGATACATCGGCACCACCTAACACGCGTCATCGTTGCGTCACGTCAACCACGTTACACCCACGACCTAACATCGAACTAGAAGCTTGCCAGCTGTCGGAAACAACAGTGGGACGAGCATCGGTGAATTTTCTTCGTGGCCCAGAGCGAAGAGAGGCGGCCTCTAGGTCGCTGGATCCACGAAATCCGCTGTGAAACTCGTCGCCTAATTTTAAACCGCTGCCACTTTGCGAGCTGAATTACGTTTCGACGCAGTGGAAACCCCGCTGTGGGAATCGCCTTCCGTTTATTTCTCCGGGAAGCGACTTAAACGCTTCCTGATCTTCGCCTAGCCTCGATCCAGCACCGCGAGGCGTCGAGATTCGCGCGGATTTCCCGAGCACCGCACGAATTCCGCTATCAACTCGTATCTTCGAGTATCTCGGAGAAATTTTCGTGTTTGCACTCCGGGAAAATCGTTTCGCGATGGCGAGAAGATTTGTAGCGTCGGTACGTACGGACGTTACGTCACGGTGGATGTACAGAGGTAGACTCGAAGGGAATTTCGCAGCAGTTCCTCGGGAGAAATTCCACTGGATCGTAGAACGTAGTTTAGTCGGGTATCGGAGAGCTTCGGCCGTAGAATCGCGTGCTACGCTGTCAGTGGGAACAAGAGTAGCTTTAAATTGCTGCTTCGGACGGACTGATTGCGAGTTGGCAGGAATTAATATAGCAGTTGTAGTTTTCGCGTCGATGATAATAATATACGCGGTGTAGTATATTGCTCGTAAGGTGGTGTATTAGTATAACTGGTATTACCTGCGAAAGGTACGCGAGAAGATGGCGAACAGACGAGAATCGGCGCTAACTGCTGATAATCTTATTCCAAGGCAATAGAACCGAGGATAATGAGATCTGACTCTAGCAGAAAAAGTTCTCAACTTGAAATAACTCCACCGATGCTGGACTCGGAATTGGAACAGGGGATACACGAAAAATTAGAAACAGCGAGACGACAGAGGCGAATTGGACACGATTATTGGAGAATTAAATTAAAGAAATTAAAGAAATCGGAAATGTGGTTGAAAACAAGAATTGGAATTCGAGATTATGAGATATACAAGCTTAATTGATATAAAATCTATAAAATTTGGATTATCGAATTACTACGTTTTGCTATAGTCGTACAACGCTGGAAAAGAATATAAACTACACTAATGACAGGTGAGATGCAAAATAACGACTTGCGAATTATCATATATTCCTTATTCACCGAGATACGCGAAAAATATTTTTCTCGTGTATATTACGCAAGAAATATATACGAGAGATAAATTCCACAATTTAATACACAGGTATTGGAGCAAAAAAATATTTTTCCCACGAATATGTGAGTGAAGATGAAATTCCAGAATTAAATTAAGACAAAAATTCATCCTTATTTTCGGCTCCTCGGTGAAGCACCTAATCCGACTTAAAACGCCAAGGATCTGGCTTTTTCACATTGACCAGGTTCTTGGTGGATTCCGGGGAATGAGTTCAACGTACGAATGGGCGCCTTACGGGTCAACAATCCGGGCTAATGCGGCTAATCTGCTAAATTTATCTGCGGATCATTTGGTCCACGCAGGCCGTTTCCGTCTATGCAACATGATAATCTCTTCATCTGGCATCAGGTGGTCCCGATTTGCTGGATTCGCGGCGTATTAAGTCACCGGTTACATCATCGTGCCGTCTCGAAAATAGAAACGCAGCGAGTCCGTGAATTATATGGGCAATTTAATTACATTAAAAACACCGGGACCTGCGATTATCGTGGAAACAGCTCCGTCATGGACACTGAGAAGCTGAACAGTGTTCTCTACCTTCCATAGTTACGCGTAATGGCAATTACTAATTTAATCCCTTACCTTACGCTTTCAGTAATATGGCGGGTGCCATAATCGACAGCACAGTCGGTCACACGACGAACCATTTCGTCCGAACACGACGAAGAATAACACGCAACTAAGGCATGTAAACGTCTGCGAAAATTAACCATAAGCCTGACTGACCAGTGATGTTTACATTCAGCGCCATCTACGAGCCTGTTATACTCATATTTCAGTATCACACCCCCATGTGACACTCCCGTCTAGGACCCACGGCTCTCGCCCGTATACTCGACTTGGGCCAAATCTACATCCCACGCCTCCCGCCCGTATATACGATTTGGGCCACATCCAAGTCCCACGTCTCTCGCCCGTATATTCGACTTGGGCCAATTCAAATTCCCACGACTCCCGCCCGTATATACGATCTGGGCCAAATCAAATTCCCACGACTCCCATACTGTCTCACATAAAAGAGCTATCTGCGAATCATGGTGTAGCAAGATTCCTAACACGTTTCCAAAATAAAAACTTGGGCCAAATCTACATCTTACGCCTCCCGCCCGTATATACGATTTGGGCCACATCCAAGTCCCACGTCTCTCGCCCGTATATTCGACTTGGGCCAATTCAAATTCCCACGACTCCCGCCCGTATATACGATCTGGGCCAAATCAAATTCCCACGACTCCCATACTGTCTCA